GACTGGAGGAGGAATTCTGGGAGTTGAAGTCCACAAGTCTTAAAGTTGCCCCTTGATCTATTCTATTCTATTCTATTCTATTCTATCTATCTATCTATCTATCTATCTATCTATCTATCTATCTATCTATCTATCTATCTATCTATCTATCTACCTACCTACCTACCTACCTATCTATCTTTTCTCTTTCTCTTTCACTTTCACTTTCTCTCTCTTTCTCTATCTATCTATTCTATCTTTCTCTCCCTCTCCCTCTATCTATTCTATCTGTCTCTCTTTCTATCTATCTATTCTACCTCTCTTTCTCTATCTATCTATTCCAGGGGTCTTCAGACCTGACAGCTTGAAGACTTGTGGACTTCAACTCCCAGAATTCCTCCTCCAGTCCTGTTTAGTTCAGGAATTCTGGGAGTTGAAGTCCGCAAGTCTTAAAACTTGCCAAGTTGGAAGACCCTTGGAGTAGAAGACCTCCGGGGTCCCTTCCAACTCTGTTATTCTGTTATATAATCCCCAGAGTTTGCAGGAGAAGGGAGCAGACCCAACTCCGAATGGAACCCCCCGATACCCACCTCTCCTGGATATGTTCTCTTCATGGTCTGCATGGGCAACGCTTGGGGACGTGGACCAGGATAAGCTTGCTGGGGCATCCTCTGCCCATGGGTGAAAGGGCTCATCCCTGGAGGTCTGGCCTGGTTCATGCCCATGGGTGGCCCGCTCATACTGGAAGGCGTCAAGCTCGGCCCCATGGATGCTGGGTTCAGGTTGGCTGGCATGGAGGCAGGACCGCGAGGGCCAGGCTGGTTGATGAACTGGCTGTTGTAAGACTGTGCCGGACCCATCTGGAAAGAGGAACAAACCTTCAACAGAAGAAGGAGAAGAAGAAGAAGAAGACAAAAAAAAAAGAATATAAAAATGCGACATGGAACTTCGAAGGGGAAAGGGGAGCCGTACGGGAGGGGGAAACATCGCGGCTCTGTCGCATTTTGTTTTTCAGGACTGGTTCTTTGCATTTTGGAGGTCCGTCCTTGCTAACTGGCGTTGGGAAAGGCAACAGACAAGGAAGCTATTCTTGATTTAATGGCGGTCGTGAAAGCCCTCCTGCTTAACTTCCGTGGGCCCGGAAGTTACGTCCCCTTGCAATTTCTGTACAGAACATAGAAGCACATCTCTCTAAGATGTGCCATGGGACAAAGTAAAGAAATGCAACAGAATCTTTTGCACATTATTCCTAACTATCCATTTCTACAACACCTAATCTTTCTAATCAATGAAACCAAGATCAAAGTTTCATTTTTCCCCCCTTCACAAGCAGAAATGATATCCAAATAAGAACATATTTTCCTCTTAAAATAAAGTAAACAATTTAGCCATTCCTGCTTTATCTTCCTTGCTATGGAAATAGTGTGTGTTTCCATTTGCACCTAGTAATCTTTGTGAACTGTCACCATTTTTATTTATAGCATTTATTGTATGCTTTCAAATTCTTTGGCCTTACTGGGAAAGAAAAAGAGGGGGGAATTAATGTGCAAAAGCAAAAAGTTGAGGCTATCTTGTCCTGTGCGAGGAAGAGTTGGAAGTCAATGGCCCTTTCTTTCTTTTTCTCTTCCTTCTTGTATTTCACACCCCCTTTTCCCCGTTATCTTCCCTGCCCTTAATTTCCTATTTTCTTTGGCGGGACTAGAACTCATAATCTCCTGGTGATTGGCCAAAAGTCACTCAGCTTACTTTCATGCCTAAGGCAGGACTAGAACTCACAATCTCCTGATGATTGGCCCAAAGTCACCCAGCTTGCTTTCTGCTTATGGTGAGATTAGAACTCACAGTTTCTAGCCTCGTGGCTTAACCACAAGACCATACCAGCTGAAATTGAGAGCGATGGCCAATTACAAAGTTTAATTAGTCACATGAACATAGCAGAAAAGCCTATTTCTAGTTATCTGCCCTCTAATATTAATTTGTTTGCAATTACTAGTGGTTATAATCAGATAAATAATTATAACTGAATGAATATGAGAGGAACAAAATCAAACAAATTTGTCTCAACGCAGATTATTTTGCATTAATATTCACAGATACAATTAACCCTACTATAAAGTTTGAAAAAAAAAATTAAGTATCAATAATTTGCAGGAATTAAAACACAGATGGAGATAATAGCCATAAATCTGGACAATGAAATTCAGTGTATTCAGAGAGATTTAAGATATTCATTAAAAAGCAGGGGTAAGTAAGTAGTTAGTAGGGTTCCAAATGAAAAATAAAGTTGCTTAAAAACACGAATAGAACCTATTTTTAAGTGGGCTATAGTTTATGGAGTTGCAATACAATTTAAAAAAAAATGGCATAATGATTTTTTAAAAAGTTACCAGCCGTGATAGATGCTAATACTATTTCTAAATGTCAAAAAATTAGAATAAGATTAAATAGAATGAAAAGGGGTAATATTACAAAATAAAAGAATAAATTCTTATATCGTATCCTGTATTAGCCTAGAAACAAAAATACACAGGTGGTCCTTGACTTACGACCAAAGCTCAGCCCCAAATTTATGTTACTAAGTGAAACATTTGTAAAGTGAACTGGATCCCATTTGACTTTTCTTGCCACCGTTTAATTGAATCCCTGGAAGTTGTTACGTTAGGTAACACGGTTCTTAAGTGAATCTGCCTTTCCCTGTCGGCTTTGCTCAACAGAAGGTCGTAGAAGGGGATCATGTAACCGTGGTGTCAACTCAAAAATATTTCTCTGGTCTTTTAGAGTTGCCAGCAGAAAGGGAGCAGTGGGAGTAATACATACCTTAAATAGTTTTCATAGATAATTGCTAGGAGGCCAAAGCTTCTGGCACAGAAGATTATTACTGGAGAGCAAGATAGATGACTCTTGGCTACGAATGTGTCCCATTGGAGAATATACATCCAGGGGATGGGGAAAGACCAAGGTCAAGGGTGAGATGAATGATGTGTCTTAGAGTCGGCTGCACCCAGGTAATGCTGACATGTTCACTACTAATAAATCTTTTTTTTTGTACTCTGGGAGATGTGGCTAGACACTCATGATACAAATGGGGGTGGATTGTCAGAGCCCTGACAGTCCCCACCCCCCACCCCCGAGTTAAAAAAAATATCATTTATTAGGAGTGAACATATCGGTGTTACCTAGGTGCAGACAACACTAAAATACATCATTCATTTCCCCTTTGACCCTGGTCTTTCCCCACCCCTTGGATGTATATTCTCCAATGGGACACCTCCATAGCCAAGAGTCATCAGTCATGCTCTCCAGTAATAATCTTGCATGCCAGAAGCTTTGGCCGCCTAGCAGTTATCTATGAAAATATTTAAGGTATGCATTGCTTCCCCCACTTCCTTTCTGCTGACAACTCTAAAAAACCAGAGAAATATTTTTGAATTGACACACAGGACACTAAATGTGAGTCAGTTGCCAAGTGAATTTTGATCCTGTGACCATGGGGGTGCTGCGATGGTCGTAAGTATGAAAAACAATAATTTCCACTGCCCTTGTAACTTTGAAGATCCCTATGATTTCTAAAGGTAGAGGTTTCCCCTGTCAGTCCTGTCCGAGTCTAGGGCACGATGTTCACCTGTTTCTTGGCCAACAAGCCAGTGCTGTCTGAAGACAATTTCTCTGGTCATGTGGCCAGAATGGCTATACTCCAAAAGGTGCATGGAATGCCGCTACCTTCTCACCGAAGGGGTACCTATTAACCTTACTCGCATCTGCATGCTTTCAAATTGCTAGGTGGGCAAGAGCTGGAGCAGGAAGGGAACTTACCTGTTGTGCAGAGCTTGGGTCTCGAACCTCAGCTCTCCAGCTGACAAGCTCAGCATCGTTAACCCACTCAGGCTATCATACCCCCACTCTAGGATCTCTACTTCTACCCAAACATCACGAGAATGAAAAACCCCACCCTCCACGACGGATGTGAACTGGCACGCTTACCGGTCCGTATTGATTCATGTCTTTGTTTTGGGTTTCCTGCAGAGCTGCAACTGTTGCGGTAGCTGTAGCTGTGGCAGTGGCAGCAGCCGCAGCAACAGCCGCTGCCGCGGCGGCGGCGGCTGGTTGAGTGAAATCAGCAGGGGGTCGGGTGTGCGGTGGCATCCCCATTCCCGCAGGGTTATTAGGGCCTCCTGGATAGCTGAGGGAGAGAAATCAAATTTATACACATCGGTGTTTGAGTCACCAAAACGCCAATAGGGTCCTAGGCTGCATTAACAGACTCAAGAGCATGTGAAGGGTTGGCGCCACTTTATAGTGCCTTGCTAAGAGCGCACTTAGCAATACTGCCTCCAGCTTTGTAAAAAAGATGTTGAGATTCTAGAAAGAGTGCAGAGAAGAGCAAGAAAGATGATTAGGGGACTGGAGGCTAAAACATATAAAGAATGGGCTGAAGTTGGATACGTCTTGTTTAATGAAAAGAAGGACTAGGGGTAACATGATAGCAGTGTTCCAGTATTTGAGGGGCTGCCACAAAGAAGAAGGGAGTCAAGCTATTCTCCAAAGCAACAGAAAGCAAGACAAGAAACAATGGATGGAAACTAATCAAGGAGAGAAGCAATCTAGAACTAAAAAGGAATTTCCTGACAGTGAGAACAAATAATCAACAATTAACTTGCTTTCAGAAATTGTGGGTACTCAATCACTGGAGGTTTTTAAGAAGAAACTGGACAACCATTTGTCTAACATGGTATAGGTCTCCTGCTTAAGCAGGGGGTTGGACTAGAAGACCTCCAAGGTCCCTTCCAACTCTGTTATTCTCTTAGTTTGCAGTTGGGGGCCAGGCGTAACGCAATGCAGGGAACATGAAGACGAGGGTCCCTGTGCTTGTCATGACAACTACAGAGTTCTGGGAACATCAGCAATACAGTCTCATCACAAATGCATTCATGCACCATTACGGATGCTCCAAAGAAATGACTCTACACTTCCTTTATTTTGTAGCCACAACCATCCATATTTCATTCTGAGTACATTATCTCTTGCCAACTACCTCTCTCCTGAAAATTCCCCTTTATTGGCTTCATTTTTCTTTGCGCTCTTACTTAGTCCCCAACCCATTCGACTTGTCTGGATAATCCCCCAATCGATTATGGAAAACATTGGGAAAAATGTGCGACAAATTCATCTTTTTTGGCTTGTAGTTCCTTAAAGATGGGAAGATTCCAGCCAACTTTACCAGTTCCTGCACTGCCACAGTTACAATGGTGGGGAAAAGGGTCTTTGTTATTCCTTTGTGTCAGCATACAGGATTGGAATTAGGATGAGGAGTACTGAACTCACATCATCTTTGAGTTCAACAAAGATTCGTGCAAAGAGGTTCTAATCTGGAAATCCCCTTGTACGTTATTTCTGACAAGTTATAGTAGCACATGCATGACAAAATAATAATTCCACATTTGATGGTCCTGAATTATGCAAATGATAATATCACATGAAGTTTGGTTCTAAATATTATTTCAACCTGATTTTCTCTAAAGGCATGGGCAAAATGGATGTTTTGAGTTTGGCCTGGCTAATGTTCAATGTTTGTTCTCCTACAGCAAAGCTGTAATACTTATTATCTATTAATAGCCTTCATACAGATGCTCAGCAAAATGTTAGCCACTTCTAAATCTAGGTGTTGCATCATGCATTCAGTGGTTAATTAAAACTCTACCTTAGCTTGTATGCCTTCTTTGATTGACTTGAGTCATGTGCAAATCCTTTTCCTGAAGGTATTTTGATTTCATTTTTCTGGAAGTATTTTGTTTTAATTCTGAACCCTCCCCTTGTCTTCTCTTTCTCCTTTTTCCTTTCATTTCCTTTCCTTTCCTCTCCTCTCCTTTCTTTCCCTTCCCTTCCCTTTCTCTCTTTTTCCTTTCCTTTCTTTCCATTTCCTTTCTTTCCATTTCCTTTCTTTCCATT